TAGCCCAGAAAAAGCTTTTATACTCCAACCCTTCTGACCTAAAATTTTAGTCTGAGATTATTAAAGAATGAACTTAAGCTATTTTTTTCCTTAAATTAATTTTTTTTAAATAAATATGTAAACTATCGTAAATTAATTTTATGAACATTTTAATCTTAAAATATTTAAATTCCGATAAATATAGAAAATCACTAAATTCCAATAAACTACATAAACTTAATTTTACCAAAAAAAAAAACTACATAAACTTAATACAAACGACAATTGATAAACTTAATTAATAAAGCACATATTTCATACACTACATAAACTTAATACAAACAACAATTAATAAACTTAATTAATAAAGCACATAATTCATACACTACATAAACTTAATAATCATATCCACCATCTTCACTTGGTGATGGACTTCGTACAGGACTTGGGATATAGGGTTCAGAGGATTCATCATCTTGAAACATACTCCTTGAGGCAGACTTTCGCAAATTTCATTTTGCTTACCACGTAAGAACTTCTTCCTCTCTTGAGTGTATTTGCTGAGGTCCTCCATCATCAAATTAATTTCAAACATATCTTGCTCCCTATCCGAGATTTCCTTCATTTGCAAACGTATTCGGGCCGTTTCTTCTTGGCGAGCGTTATGGGTTTCGTTCAATTTTGCAATTCCGGTAGCAAAGTGTCCACTCATCGGATCTTGGGACTTCCCTTTTCTCTTTGCTTCCTTTTGCTTATCTATTCCCTGGGGCCTTGCAAAAGAAGGAGATGGGGTCATTTCATCGACACCTTCATCTCCGGCATTTGTATGTGCGGTTTCACGTTGAAATAATCTTCCCCATTGTTGGTATGCATCTGTTCCTCACCTCGGACAATCCTTGAGAACGTCCCAAGCATGTTGCAACTTAAAAACTTGATTTTTTTGTGTTACTCTTGTCTTGTAAATTTCCATTGCTTTGTCACCCTATGCAAAAAATACATAAAAAAATTAGTTGCAAAATAATATTATGTACATAACAAATAAAATATCAAGAACAAAACTCACAATTTTTGTGGCACTCCTTCCACTAGCCATGACAACCACGGCTCTCTCCAAGCTTCTCTTCCATAAAGTGCATGCTTTGTTGATAATCTTCCACCAATCATAAACACCACCACCGTCCCGCCCGCCGCCATTGTAGTTTTCTTGAAACTTTGCAATGATTTTATCCCACAAAACCTTCTTATTTTGATTTGTGCCAACTGCACCATCTTTGCTAACAGAAACCCATGCCAAGCATAAAGCAACATCTTCCTCATAGGTCCAATTACGACCTCTAATATGCTCTCTAGCCATGTTGAACAATTTGGAAATGGAAAGAAATGGTAGAAAGATAAATTGGAAGAATTGTAGGAGAAATTTGAGATTTGTATGAATATTTGAACAAATACATAGGTATTTATAGAGTTTTTGGGTGAATTTTGAGTTAAATAATTTTTTTAATTATTTTAACCGTTGGATTTAAATTTGGGCTGTTAGATCTTTTTTTTACCGTTAGATTTGATTATATTCGATCTCAGCCGTTGAATTCAATGTATTTTAAAATAACATATTCTAAAAAAATGAAATTTGAATCTGGACCGTTGGATCAACCAACAGTCCTTAAAGCCCAGCCCTTGGATGTGAATTATAGTTGTTGGGATTAATTGGGTGGCCGACACATGGCCTGACAGCGAGGCCCACCCTGTCGGGAAATCCTTGCAAGCCCACCGCGTGGGGTGCGTTGCTATGTGGGCGAGCCGAGACTGGCCCAAGTGCCGGCGAGTCCACTCGCATGGGGGGGGGATTTTGGGGGGGAGGGGGGGTATTTGGCCCAACTTTAGCATTTGGCTTTTAGCCCAATGTTTTAGCTTGGGAGCTTGGGTTGGGTGGTGTTAGGGGGGAATAAATGGGGAAATTTGGTTTTTAGCCCATTGTTGGAGATGGTCTAACAAGCAAGAAATTACTAATTTTTAAGCTTAACTTATCTGTTTTTAGATTGTAAATTGAATGTTCTTAGACTAGAAATGAAGACTCACAAAGGTATTTTAGCTTCCCTGATCATCATCATGCGATTTTTTAGCACCAGGAATGGTTTGACTTTGATATAATGTTGAGTCTCAATAGAGCTACTTATTATGCGCAATAATTGTGTGCCGTTGAGATCAATCTTACGATAATTTTCAAAACGAGCTCATATGTAGAAATGGTACAATATTATATCAGATTAGTTTATTTTAGAAAATCTTATAAGATTCGTAAAAATTAAAAGAAACATTGAAAAGTTCAACAAAAATCGCCACGGGCTCCTCGTGTCAAGGAGAATATCAATTAGAAAAACCTTTTGTAGCTAGCACCCCTTGGTCTCCATTGTGGTAGAACTCATTTATCCCTATTTTTATAATTCTTATAATTTTGTGGAGAGATGTAGTTTAAATAAATCATTAAATCCCAAATTAACTTCAAAATTGCAATTTTCCTTTATACCTTTTTTTTTTTTGGAACATACGATATTATTAGAATAAGAGAGAGATGGTGGACTTAGCCTCACAATTAGCTAGCAATAATGTAGTTCAAATTCACCTTTAACGAGAATAAACGTAAGACCTTTCACTTACAAATAAATAGGAATAAACGTAAGTCCTTCACATGATGTTCACCTCCCGCACCGCACGCTCACCTTGGATCCAAGTTAGGTGCACAGTCCTGTCATACAAACCACTATCGGTGGTTCCGACTCGTAGGTGACCCGTGATTATTCACACAGTCTTCACGTGATTGTAGCACTTGAGCGTATTTATTTACACACAGTCCTGTCGTACAGATCACTCTAGGTGGTTCCGACTCGTGTGCAAGCGTATTTGATGAGCTATAGGTTCAGTCGTACAGTCCACAATAGGTGGATCCAGCTGACATATTACTTTTCATTGATTTACTTCACCTGGTTTACTTATTTCATTATATTGAAATATTTGGCATGGCATACATGTAGATTTGGCTATTCCAAGTATGGTTTCAATATAGATATGTATTCTATTTTCTGGGAAATTATACGGGTTTTACGGTGAACAGTTATTACTTTTGATAAGTGAAATGATTTGAAAAGCTTCGTTTTTGCCCACTCACACTTTCTGTTTTGCACCCCTCCAAGTTCTAGGTAAGAGTACTTGTTCGTGGCTTGCGAGGAGTTGACGGCGGTTCTGACAAACTGTAATTAATGCCGGACCATCCATCTGGTATTGTATAATTAGTATTGGTCCTGCTGGATTGCACTTAGGTTACCTATGCTCTGGTTATGTGTAATTACACTTAAATCTCGTCACTCGCACCTATATATTTGTCTAGTGTAAATTAGTTAGCTTGGTTTTTATTTACTCACATTTCTATATCCTTATCACTTCCACACCGCGCACATGGTTACATCATCCTCGCGTGACGGCCAGCACACCTCGATTTAGGTCGGGGTGTGTCATTTACATTATGACAAATTTAGAGATCAATATTCACGAATTTCTAGTCAGAGACCAAATCTTAACTCATCCAAAATACATTAAAATGAAGGTTTTTTAGCCAAAATGATCCCTCAGATTTGCATAACTCCTCACTTGAACCCTGAGATTTGAAATTAATAGAAGTAGTCCATGTCCACCATCAATCATTTTGGTCCTTCCATGAAAAATCTCCATTAAATAAGGCTCAAATGACAAAAATACCCTCAATTTTTGTCAAATCATTTGGCCCATTGTTTATTAAATTGAGGATATTTTTGTCATTTTGGTCCTTATTTAATATAATTTTCTATGGAGGGACCAAAATGATTGATGGTGAACAAACTCAGGGACCACTTCTATTGATTTCAAATCTCAAGAACCAAAGTGATGAGTTATGCAAATCTCAATGACCATTTTAGCTAAAAAGCCTAATATGAATAACGATGAGGAGACCATCGCGTTTAGACCCAATTATAAACTATTTTATATGGGTAGATGACGTGGCAAGCCAATTCATTAAAGAATAAACAAGGTATATTTTAATTTTAAATTTCCTACCTAAACAAAAATCCTAAGCAACCAAAGCTCCCTACACGCCCCAATGTTAGAGAGGAAAATTCAGGTCCTACAACTCTCTAACAAGTAATTTTGATGCCAAAGAAGATATAGATCATCTTCGCTTGTCATGGGAGGTGTCTACAAAACACACTTTTATCTTCAAGTTAGTAAGTGTTTGAGATGATTGCAGCAGAATTTAGAGTAATTGTGTCATTTGAAATCTGGGGCTCCAAGTCCCACACCACCCTTGATTTTCTTCATGATGCATAAGTCACTCCATCATAGGCATGGCGTGATCAAGTAACAAGTTGATTGCTTAATTGTAGTTCCACTTCCCCATATATAGAGTGCTAGTCGTTTGTTTAGTTGAGGAGTAAATTCCCCCTCCCCAAAAAAATAATTATTTTGGTTAGAATCATCAGCGGAAATAATCAAATAAATTTTTTTTTATAATGAACAAAAATAAAAATTCATAAACGTAGAGAAACAGAGGGAACGAAAAATATGTAAAATATGTTTTGTATTAATTAATTCTTATACCGTTTAATGTAAATATAAAGTTATATTTAAAAAAGATGACATGACATAACATATAAATTTGATATTTTACACTAGTTGCCAAAAAGAAAAACAAAAATAAGACATATACAACCAACATGCCTTTGTTTGCCTAAAACCAAAAACTTCATCTGGTATATACAACAGACTAAAACAAAAAAGTTATTTTTTCTCTCAAAAAGTTGCTTTTTGTCGTACCCAGTGCACAAGGCTCCCGCTTTACGCAGGGTCTAGGAGAGGTGAATGTCGGCTAGCCTTACCCCCATTTATGGAGAGGCTGCTCCCAAAAAGTTGCTTTTTGTGCTGGACAAAATTTTTGAGTGCAGCCACTTTATCTTGTCTATGGCCGTTCTCGGTTGTTTTGTTAGGGTTGGCTGCTAGAACCCTTCGAGTCTAGTGACTAGTTCTGTCCGTGGCTTAGATCGCCTCGCTTTAACATCTTTTCCATTAACGGAGAATTTTACTTTGCCCTCGTGGTCCGGTTTATCAAGAATTCTGGTAGCATCTGACGCAGACTTAGCAACAACTTGAGCAAAGAGTGATTGTTCACTTGGATGAACAGGCTTCTTCATAAAGATTGACTCTACACAATCTCCAAATTTCCTGCATATATATGATGAGTTAAAAAAAGTTAATCCAGATATTGTTGAACCTGATAATAATAAACCAATATTAAATTTTTATACCTAGTCATATAAAATTGATCATATGTTTCCATCTTTAAATTAGATACTCGACAAGATAAGGTCGGTTAAGATGATGCAAATTTTTTAGTTTGCCAAATTAGATCAACAATCCTCTAGTAATCACACTAATATTGTCCCAATTAACTACCTGCACAAGCTGACAAGTATTGGGTTTTATCACAAAGCACCTCGGTGCAATAAGATGTGTAACCATTCAATATAAGTTGCAATAATTAAAAAGAGAGAGAGAGAGAGAGAGACAGAGAGAGAGAGAGACTAGAGAGAACTACCAGTTTAAATAGCTTTTGAGTTCTTCCTTTGAAACAGGATGGCCCTTTGAGAATGTCAAGAATAAAGTTCTATCATTGTTGTCAACACTAGGTTGATACTGATCTGGCACATCATCGTTTGCTTCTTGGGGAGGCAATAAAGGTTGAGCCTCAACAATATTATGACCCTGCTGATTAAGTGAATAATTATGCTGAAACCATTGTTGTATTATTGGACCATTCAACATATTGGTTTGCAGGAAACCACTGGGTATATGACCCAAATATGGATATGGTGGGACTATAATTATATCCCATAAAGCTCTATCGAAGACATTGTCCATAACTTTCTTCATCTCTTCCCGGGCCTTCTCCTTGTTCTCAAACACAAACTCGAGTGGAATTTTTTTTGTAAGAAGAAGAAGACACAGTGTTCGGAACTTGCTACCAATTTCCTCCGACCCCGGAGGAGCGTAATTTGAATACAGATACTGTAAGCACATAATCGACTCACACGCTAAAGCATACAAGTCCCGGTCATGCAAATCTAACGTGCCCGCCATAAACTTGTAGTGAGTTTCTGTGTCCAGAAAATACCAAAATGCTAGGACAAGCTTAGATAGGTTAGGATCAAAACGTAAACCCAGCAGTCGAACGTAGATTGTGCGATCGATTGAATGGAATAGCTTTAGCTCTTCAAAGGCTCTGTAAGATGATATGTCCATGATGATGCAAGTGCCAGTGCTCTTGGAGCGTTTGCTTTTGAAAGGGCTGCAGGCTAGGGTTTCAGTGATAAGCAAGGTTTTCTCTTTGATATTTCAGTGATAAGCAAGGTTTTCCCTCTCCACACACCTTGTTATATAACAATTCTAATTAGTTGCCGAAAAGGGAAACTCTAATCTGTTACCCAACAAAAATCTCCACACGTAAAAGGGTTTATACTTTTACTATTGTATTAGGGTTTCAATACCCTTATTATCCAAATATCGACAGGTAATTCACATTCCTTTTTATTTTGGTTTTTGTATTCCTCAGTCTTTTGGATACTGTTACAATCCCCAAATTGTTAACCCAATTTTGGTTCCCAAACAATATCAAGATTTTAATCATAATCCTTCTGTGCCTGCCTTCCCTTTCTCCCTTTCATCTTATTTTATTTTTGTTGTAGATTTTTTCATGAAACACTGTACGTAATCAACAGAATAGTCGTTAATTGTGTCAGATTTGGGTTTTTAGCCGGTACGTGGCTGGATGTTGGAAAATTAAAAAGGAAAAAATTTAATTTACTTAACTATTTTGTTTTATGTTATTTTATTAAGATTTATTTTCCTTGTTCTTAAGGAATTTGGTTGACTAATTCAATTAGCTTGTGTCTTCTTTTTATTTAGGTTCCATTGTCCTTTTGGAGTTTGGTTTACTTATTTGATAGGTTTACTTATTCAATTATAAGTTTGTATTTTCACATGTGGTATAATATCTTAGTGGATAGGATGTTGGTTTTCACCCATACGTCCCGAGTTCAAAACTCTCTCATCCGCTAAATTATTGTAATAGTTTTGAACTCTCTCAATCTCTTGATCAAAAAATTAAGTTCGTATTTGTTATAAAGAAGAATGAAGATGTATTCGAGTTGTGTGGAATTAACGACAATGGGAGTCCTGGTGTCCTGGTGCTGATTAGGTTATGCAGTTACAATCGTACTCCTTGTCCCAATATGATTCAAAAGTTTCTTCATACATGAAAACAAGATATTGGTGATTCTATGATCATTGTAATCTTGTGATTCCAGGTGAACTCGACTTTTAACTAAGTTCTTAAAATCTGCTTCATTCTTTACTGTTATCTTTAAATCTAATTTGCAATGACACTTTTTGGGGTTAAATTCTTTATAAATATGTACATAGGAGTAAAATGATTGTGTTCAGCTAACATTATATCAACAAAATGCAGGCAAACCATAGTCGTATAATGTAAGAAATGAGAAAATTTCCAGATTTTGAATGTTTTCGGAACAAGATAATGTGGAAAATGTCTGTACAGATAGTTAGCTAGTGACTACAACAAAAGGAGAGGATCGAAAAAAAACAGAATGGTGTGTTTAGTTAGTGTGACATGGAATGATTAGGTGGATGGACTCCTCTTACTCTCCAAGGTTATTGAGAAGTAGGGAGGCCATTGTTGGTATGTTTTGTACAATCGAACGGTCCAATTACTTGATTAGCCTTTCGCTTCACCTGAAATTCTTAGAGTGTAAGCACATCAGTTCATTGGAACATTTGTAATTCAACGAATAAAATTCAATCAAGAAAAAGGTGCAAAGAGTACGATGGTGTTTCTCTCTCTATCTGTAAACAATGAATAGAGGATCGTCTAGGAAGCAAAATCATACCGGAGACCATGGACCCCGTTGAGGTTGAGATTTGCTGGGGGGTGAATTTTGTACTGCACCACTTTTCTTTGTCAAAATTTCCTGCAGAAACACTTGGTATAAGACTACTATTATCATGCTAAAGACTACAAAATGTGTCTTGTATCAAAACTGAGAACTAGAAAATAATCCGAGTGTTGAGTCAAAATGATTCGCTTCCACGAGCATTATAGTCATAAAAAACAACCTCGTGAACGGTTTCCACAAAATCCTTACAGGAAGTGTTGTTTGAAAGCAAGGTACCATTCAAACAAGACCCGGGGCTAATATCCTGGGACCCTCGTATGACATCAACATTTGGACGATGAAGCTCAGGATTTCCAGCTAGTTCTTCATATACGTTATTAACAACTGCTGAACATGCGTAGTTTGAGACTGAGCTTTGTTCTCGCAGATCTCCAAGAGCTCGTTCCTTAATCATGTCGCTACCTTCATCAACTTGTTTACTTTCTTCATCCAAGCTTTTATACTTACCATGGGGACTCAAAAGATTCTATCTTCAAATGAACTCACATGAACCTCTGGACTCTGATTCAAGATTCTATCATCTGCATTTAAGCAACTTGCACTCATCACACTAATTTCCTCTCCACTGAAATTGATTTTATCACCCATCAAATTAATCGGCTCTCCTGAAGTATCTTCAACTAGCAGATTCAAGTTTAGCTGGGACGTGAAATCTCCAGTTTCCAAGAAACTGGCATCCATATTGTGAGCCGTCACTGCACCTATGGTTTGAACTTCATCCAAACTGTCCAACTCCAAACAACAATCTTGGCAATTAAACTCAGAGTCATTCCTTGAGTCAAGGTTGTAACTCTCAACCATTGCTTTGTCTTCCGACACTGAAGCAAAATTGTCCTGGGACTTCACTATTTCTGCCTCATTGGACCTGTAATCTGACATAGCAGGTGGCATTAGAGAAAGGGTTTTAGAAACTTCTGATTCACTTGTGCTGACACCAGTTCCCTCTGCTTTTTTTAATTCAACACACCGAAGAGTAATTTTCTGCTGGGATTCTTCAGGTATAGTACTGAATCCATCCAATACACAATCTACATTCCTCGAAAACCTGTTCTCCGGGTTTTCTTTTCCACAATCAATTACAACTGTAGCTCTGGATCTCTTCAGAAGTTTGACATTCCTTGGTGAAACGACCACTGTTTTCCCATACCATTTGATCTCCTTCACAGGTCAAAGGTTTAGGCAGATCAACTTGTTCCCCATGCAGTTTATTGACACAATTACCGCTACACTGATCAACACATGATAGTTCTTGTCCCATAGATATTTGATCTTCATGAAGAGGAAATCTATCGAATTTGGCTGTCTGTCATATCACAAGTTCACAACTATTTGAGCTAGACTTAACCTTCAGACCTGCCTTGTGCATATCTGTTACTATCGATCAATAAGCAGACGAATTTCGCATTACCGAGCAAATCAGAGGTCAAATTGAATCCACATTATTTATTTTGAAAGGGGAAAAAAACCGTAGACGGCCAAAACAAAGTACAAGAGACGAAGCATAGATTCAACGAAAGTATAAGAGAAAACCCGAACCGAGTGGCTTGGATCTAAGGGGTTGGAGAGGCGAGCAGAAGAAAAAGGCATCATCTTTGGAGATTTTGTTGGTGCTGCTGCTTGAAACGGCGTCGTCTGGAGGCAATTGAAGCAGCGAGTCGTCTTCCCCTACGATTTCGATGAGGAGTACGTCAGACTCCATCCCTCTCTCTCTCTCTCTCTCTCTCTCTCTCTCTGGGTTTCTAGAAAGATCGAATGATCGGAGGCAGTTGCTACGGTTGGGTGAAGTGATCGAATCGAATGGGTGTGCGGAGTAGAGTAATGGAGTCTGCAAAATGTTTGCTCGTTTGTGGATCTTCAATTTTTCAGAGGATCGACGAGCGGCAAAAAGGATGGACGGGGAGGACGGGGACAAATAGACCGTGCGAGCACGTGACTACTGAGAGGAAATGACGAAAGAGTCCTCGCGGTCAACTTCGAGTCTATGACGATTAGCGTAGGCATAAGTGCGATGGAAGTGTGGATCATTCGTAGTGCTACATTTACCATCTATTCTATTTGTACAACCTCATTCCTATTAAAGAGAAAATACAAATGTTGGTATTGAGAGATAGTAAAAGGAGCATTTTTGTTAGATCAATGATTTGATCGGATCATTTCTCTTATTCACGTCGTGTTGAAAATGACATGATCCATTTTCTCAACGGATCTACACAAGCGTGGCCCATTAACGAACACGACATGCAAGTTAAATAAACTAAAGTCCTGTTACAAAACCAATTCCTCTGAATCTCTGATTTTCATAAACTTATAAATGTCACAACTGTAAAAAATCCAGGACCAATTCCCAGCAAAATCCGCACCTACCGTGCATGTGTGTGTAAGCTAAATAAACTAAAGTCCCGGAAAAGATGCACGGTATGACGATTCCCCAGCTCCTCTTTACAAACTGTGAACCTAATTTCCCTCCTCGTAATAAACGGAATACAAATCAAACTACACACAACTATGAAGGGAACTAACCATGACTCGTATCTGGAACCCTTTTATACCAATATTACACCAAAGAATATGAGCCACGACTTTACAGGTCTAGGTCAAAATCGAGCATCTTCCCCCTCCATGCCGCCTGAAATATGGCTCGCTCTCTCAAATTCCATTTCAGGCTGGAGATACAACTCTGCATTTCTTTGCGCTAAATACCATTCCTTCCAAAGAACAAGAAAACTGGTATACAAGTGGACTAATCCTCATCCTCGGTTATGGAGGCGAAGGAAAAAGGTTTGAACTTGTAGCCATCTCCGTGGTAGAATTTATTTTGATACTCCACCCAATGAAGACGCAGCGCATGGAGAAAAGCACTTAGCGTCTCCATCATGAGTAGTATGAACGCAGTTGCAAAGGCGAAAACTGATAACCCAATTAACCGGATAATGAAGTTGTCATACCTGTTATAAGTTTTCAGAAGTATGTTAACAATTGACCAATATGTGCAGCGTCAAATGCAATATAGTCTCTGTCCCATTGGGGAATGGCAAGCCAAAAAAGGTCGTACCCAGTGCACAAGGCTCCCGCTTTACGCAGGGTCTGGGAGAGGTGAATGTCGGCTAGCCTTACCCCCATTTATGGAGAGGCTGCTCCCAAGTCTCGAACCCGAGACCTACCGCTCAGGGTCTGGGGAATGGCAAGCCAATTTAGAATTAAAGAAATTTACTATGCCAGATGAAAAAAATGATCTTTAGTAAGCCTCTAAGACGGTGAGACAAATTACAAGCTTGCTAAGAAACTGAGGAAAATACAATAGTAAGATTAGGGCAAGTATGTAGTTAAGGTCCGGGGAGAGGATTTTGGGGTTGGGGAGGGAGCTCCATACTGTGTGACCCTTGAAAAATATCGTAAGTAGATCTAGACTACAATCCAGGTTAGGTTTCGTGTGTCCAAGAGCAGGAAGAAGTTTGAGGAGAAGAACTAGCATTCATATGCACATGCATGCAATAATAAGAATGAAAGGGTTGGAACTCACCCCCAGGCAAGGAGGAGAACTTTCTCGTAGAAAACGGTCGACAATTCTGAGTGCGCCAAGCTGTAATAGGAGCAACAGATATCAAATGAAAGCTACCCCATAGATGAAAGAAACCACGGAAAAAGAAGAAGAATAAATATAGGTATACCTCAAAGCCCATAGTCGTAGATATGATGCTGTATTTGAAACAGCACCAAGAACAAACTCTATGGAGTGTATCATCTGGTGTACAAATACCTCACTGAAATTAAACTCTTCATAATGTTGCCTCGCAGAATCAGGTTCCACTTCAAGATCCATCTCTGAGGTGCCAAGCATCCCATACGCACGACCTTGAAACCTCTGAAAACGAACATAAGAAAAACATAAGTATCACATCTTCTCAAGCTCCTTAAGTCTCGCCTCAAACACTTATGTGAGTCAAAGACAAGTATACCTCTCATAAGTAAACCGAGTCCCCATAAACAGTTGAGAATACTAATCACTACGTAATCAAATTTTAAAAATATTTACAAACGCACAAACTTCAAGAATTACTAGTAAATTTTATTCCATTCCATTGCCATCTTAGAACTCAAGGACAGATGCCTAAGCAAGTTACTCCACAGTACCTCTGTATGAAGCTTCCTCAATATGAAAGGTTTTGGAAAGAGCATCCATGGAACTGCAATTAAAGCCAAAAGCAACAAAATGATCTGCAAAACCAGAGATTTGTTAACCATAACATAAAATACCACATAAGAAGTTGCATATACGAAGTAAAGGAAAAGAGGAGCAGAATGCATGCCTGAAGTGGTCTTTGGCCCCAGAATAATTGATTTTCACCAAGATCATCAGTCGGACTTAAAAACATGTAAATCATTACATGATAGAGGTCTGCCTGAGATCCTGTACACCACTTGATGACAACAAGAAGTGAAAGATATCCAAAAAGACTGTTAAGAAAGATCATCTGTGGCACAAACTGGTACCTAACAACAAGATGCAGAATAAGTCAAACTTCTGTGCACTTCATTTCAAAGTAACACAAACGGCAAACTGACAAAAAAAAAACACATTTGAAGAGCAGAGACACACCTTATATCAAGCGAGCTGCTGAAAAACCTTGCATTGAAGTAACTTAGTAGAATTCCTAAGTTCATTTGCACAACACCCAACAAAATTGACATTTTCATTTTGAGAGAATTCAGAAAAGGGAGTTCAGAACGACTTCCACGCCAACTGGGATCCACACCAAATGGGTATGGATCTCTGTACTTGATTAAGCCAATAGTGTGCGCCTCACTGCTCAAAAGAAGACAAATTTATGATAAGTAGTCAGTTTTCTTCAGAGGAAAGTCTTTATATTAATTAATCATAAAATAGGGGATAGTTTTCAAGTCAAATAAAAGTGATAGAGAATATGTCAAACAAATAGAGCGCCAGAAATGCCTAACAAAGAACAGTTAATAATTAAGTAGATCAAAAGTCAGTAATATATTTTAACAGAAATGCAGGGTTCTAGAAGGGGAGAAAGGAGGTGCCACAGTGACGCACTTTCACAAGTTGGACATTCTGTAGAACACAACAATAGTGCACTATGGACCAGAAAAATACTCCAAAAGAACACACTACCAAACTCCATCAATCAAGAGGGAGAAAACCCCCATAAATCAAACAAGGGATGACCCTTTTCACCCTAGAAATGACCCCTAGAGGAGGAGGCAATGAAACCCCCAGTCCATCCAAAACCATGGTGAAACATAACTTAAATTAACAAATTTTGTTAATATCTTTATATTTTTAGATTATTTGGAAAATATTGAAAATTCTATAAGCATTGATCTGTAATTAAGCCAAAACAAGCAGTGCAAGAGCAGACAGGCAGTGGGGGTTTAAGCACATGGATTCTAGAAACCTCAATTCTCTAAAACAATATATTTGTGGTACACTGTGACACATAAACTCGTTCTAAACAACCCAGCTGAAGGTGACTTTAATACATGATACAACACAAAGGCAATTGTAGAGTAGAAGACTTAATATAGAAAGACTACCTGCAAGCAGCATCTCTACATTTGTAAGCAGACCCACCAAATATGTGAAAAGGAACAGAAAAGAACTCATTGTAAATCAACCCACAGTAGATTGAAAATAGGGACATCAAGAGTAGTACATATCGCCCACCAAATAGCATCTCCATAAAGCTCCCAAGTTTCTGGTAGGAAATAATACGAAATTTATTGTTAATAAACTTAGGAAATACATACAATCTCCTATTTTACATGTTAAATGCATGTTTTGCGCTTGCATTTGAGACACCACAATATTTTCGTTCAGACAAAATTGAACCATCAGATCATGTGTTCAAAGATCACTGCATTATCATCCAGTCCTTGTCCCTTTAGGGTCATTCCTCTCAAACAATAGCTATTAGGACTAGGAATTGTTTCAGCAATACACCTGATAAGAAATGAAAGCTTATCCTACTCCCATATGAAAAAAATTATTACTTCTGCTGCTGTTACTGCTTTTATTAATTAATACTATCATCGGTACCGCTATAAGAATGGCCCAAGACATGGGATATGTAAATCTAGGTAAAGATATCATATTGGTGCTAAGTCGCTAACTAAACCATGGCTGCAGTGTTGTCTTTGTACCCCAATAAATGCAGGCTTTGTTATATGATATGTTGCTGAATGGTGTTGACACAGAAACAGTGGCAGCCATGAAAAAGCTCAGGGTAAAAGTAAGAGTGGCTAGGATTACAACACATCTTTCGACAGGTTCTGGAGAGTGCAAAAGATGTACTTTTAGTAACAGCTGCTAGTCATGAACTGGAAAATGGTACATGATTGGAAGCATCTAGAAGAACATTTATTTATTATAACCATATCAATATGATTCATTACAATCTTCTGGTAGTAAGGACGCACCTGAGCACTGAGTTTACTTTCACGAGCTATAAGAACTAATGCTCCGAGCAATAAGCATATTCCATGACCCCAGTCCCCAAACATCACCGCAAAAAGAAATGGAAATGTAATACAAGTGTAAACTGCAGGATTGGCTTCTTGATATCTTGCAACACTGCCAAATTCATTAGACACAGATCAGTTCTATTGCTAGACCATAATTCCAGTATTGCTCATCATCTAAACTATTGGGTTTTTTTTTACAAGAACTGATAGCGGAAAACAACAATTGGGCTGATTTTTTAAAATTGATTCACTTACAATTTTCACAAGGTTGTGAAAAATGCTAACATAACTGCTACTAAACAGGGGAAGTGCCTGATCATATTTACAATGGATCCCCTCACTTATATCTATGTTCTTTAACCACAACTGATAGATAACTTGGACAACTCACAACCTTTTAGGATCTCTATCAATTATAAAGATTTAATATGAGTTCTAGAATTTAGCTATTTTTTCAAACCAAGTTAATAAATTCAGTTCTCGCATCATACATGAGAGCAAAGAACAACTTGATTGTTTAGATGTAAAATAAAAGTTCAGTAATAACTTGCAGCAAATCCCCACCTTCCCGTCCCTCCCATTCCATACCTAAACAAAACCCTAACTATCTAAGCTCCACCCTT